TACTTGGAAGGGGAAACCTCCCATAAAGTAAATCAGCCCAACAAACAGAGCTTCATGCCCTTACCAGGGCATGCCAGTTATCAAATGACACATCATTAATATTTATGCTGATAGCCGGTGTGCCTTTGAGGTCATCCACGATTTGGGCATGTTATGGAAGCAAAAGTGTTTTCTTACGTCTACAAGAACCCTGATCAAAATTGGGCAACAAGTAAACAACCTTCTTACTGCTATTTTCTTACCTTCTGAAATTGCTGTCATCAAAACTGAGTCTCACAGTAAGAGAACTTAACCTGAGTTTCAGGGAAATGCCCTAGTTTACTTTCATGTAAAGGCAGCAGCAACAGAATTTATAAAGGTTGTGACACATGTGGAGGAAGTGTATTATGCTTCCGCAAAAAATGACCCCTTGTTGCTGGATTTTTGAAACATGGCAACAGTCTGCTCCTGAATCAGAGAAATTAGGATGAACAAACAATGACTGTAAATTAAATGAATAGTCCAGACTATAGGAAATCTAAGATGGCTGCTTGGTTCTTTCAGGTTCCCTGACAAACCCCATTTTTAAATTTTTGCATTCCTTCATCCACCATGGTGCAATTAAGATGACTCAAATTACAAATAAACATTGGTGGATAGACTTCTCTAAAATTTTAAAAACAGTTTGCCACCAATGTCTGACCTGCCAGGTCCATAATCCTGGAAAAGCTACTTTTGTAACTGGAGGTTTCAAACCTCCTCCCTCTGGAACAGTGGTTCTCAACCTGTGGGTCGTGACCCCTTTGTGGGTCGAACGACCCTTTCACAGGGGTCGCCTAAGACCATCAGAAAACAAAAAGATACTTACATTATGATTCATAACAGTAGCAAAATTACAGTTATAGAGTAGCAACGAAAATAATTTTATGTTTGGGGGTCACCACAACATGAAGAACTATATTAAGGGGTCGCGGCATTAGGAAGGTTGAGAACCGCTGCTCTGGAACCTAGAACACATGCAGCTGGACTTCATCCAATTGTCACTTAATATGATCAAAAAGCACATGAACATCATTATTTAATTCAAATCAAAGTCACAATGAGATATCATCTTACACTGGTTAGAATGGCTATTATAAAAAAGACAAGAAATAACAAGTTTTGAAGAGGATGTGGAGAAAAGGGAACCCTTATGCACTGTTGGTGGGAATGCACATTGGTGCAGATGCTATGGAAAATAGTATGGAAGTTCCTCAAATAATTAAGAATAGAACTACCATACGACTCAGCTATTCCACTAATGGGTATTTATTCCACTAATTTGAAAAGACATGCACCCTACGTTAATTACTGCATTATTTACAATAGCCAAAACATGGAAACAACCTAAGTGTCTATTGATAGACAAATGGATAAGGAACATGTGGTACATATATACAATGGAATATTACTCAGTCATAAAGAAGATAAAATCTTGCCATTTCCAACAACATGGATGGATTTTGAGGGTATTATGCTAAATGAAATAAGTCAGATGGAGAAAGACAAATACAGTATGATTTCACTCACGTGTGGAATATGAAACAAACAAAAAAAACAAGTGAAAAAACAAAATAAAACAAATTAATCTATACAGACAACAGATTGGTGGTTACCAAAAGGGAAGGGGTAGAAAGGAGGGCAAAATGAGTAAAGGGAGTCAAATACATGGTGATGAATGGAAACTAGACTCTTGGTGGTGAGCATGCTGTAATGTATTCAGATGTCGAATTATAATGTAGTACATCTGAAACTTATACAATGTTATAAACCAATGTCACCTCAATTAAAAAAAAGTCAGAAAGTGGCAAGAACAATGGGATAAGTGTATTCGAAGCAAGGGTGAGTATTTTGAGGGGAATTAATGGCAAGGTATTTTTTGTAATAAAATTTTGTTTTAATTTAAACACTCACTGTATTTTTCTTATTTATTTATTTATTTAAAAGATTTTATTGGGGAATTGGAGGAGGGGAACAGCGTTGGGGAATCGGGGAAGGGGAACAGACAAGTTGCTGTCCTTTTGTTCTTCAGTCTAGTTGTGGAGGACGTCGCTTCACTGGCCCATGTTGGTATCATCATTGCGCTCTTCCTGGGTGAGGCAGAAGGGTCGCCGGCCTCTGGACGGCCGCTCACAGCAGCTCTTGGCAGCTCACACCGGCTGCCTGCTGCTCACGCTGGCTGCCAGCCACTCAAGGTAGCTTATGGCAGCCCACTGCAGCAGGAGCTGTAGCCTACGCCGCCCCTGGCAACTCACAGCAGCCCAGCTCCAGGTTTAGATGCTGTTCCCTATCTCAGCTATAGAGGGCAGTGTCACTGGCCCTCATATGTAGGATCCAAACGGGGGCCCTCTGGCATCCCAAGCCAGGTCTTAACCAACGTGGCACTCGGCTGGCCCATGTATTTTTCTTTTTTTTTTTTTTAAAAAGATTTTATTGTGGAATCGGAGAAGGGGAACAGACAAGTTGCTGTCCTTTTGTTCTTCAGTCTAGTTGTGGAGGACGTCGCTTCACAGGCCCATGTTGGTATTGTGATCATTGCGCTCTTCCCAGCTGAGGCAGATTGGTCGCTTGTCATTGGACAGCAGCTCTCGCCGGCTGCCGGCCGCTCATGGTAACTTACGGCAGCCCCACTGCAGCCCCACTGAAGCCTATGCCATCGTCTGCAATTCATGGCAGCCCAGCTCCAGGTCAAGCTATTGTTCACCATCTTACGTGTAGAGGGCGCAGCATCACTGGCTCATGTGGGATCTGAACCCGAGGTCGTAATGTTCAGAACTCACACTCCCAAGCCAACTCTTAACCAAGGAGCCACTTGGCCAGCCCTCACTGTATTTTTTTATCACACCTTATATATAATGTGTAAATGGGGTTCATTAAATTAGTCTCTCTACTTTTGTATGTTTTTTATTTTTTTTAGTATAAATTTTTATTGGTGCAATTGTTTTTGAAGAAATTATAAAAATTTATTGAGAGAAATTAAGAAGACCTAAAAGGAGAGATATGCCATGTTTATAGGTTGAAAGACCTAGCAGTGTAAAAATAAATGTCAGTTCTTCCCCAGTTGAGCTGCAGGAGGGCTCACCCCAGAGAGTTCAGAAGCACCTCCACTGACAGATTTCTGGCAAGTTCTGTCAGCATCCCAGTGGGGATTTCTTGTCGCCAACAGCAGTTCCCTGCTGACCAGCCTTATCCTCCTAACCATGACCATCTCTGTCTCAGGGAAACCCAGAGAACTTCTTCACCATCCAATTGGCTGCAACTACACTCTTTCCAGTGAGGTCTGGATGCTTGTCTTGGGTCCAGGGCTTCCTTCTGAGTTTGTTTGTTCTTAGATACTCTACTTCAGCCCTTGAGTGTTCTTTTGAGTTCCCTTTCATGCTCTTTTAGTAGCTAATTCCCTATAAATAATTAATCACTTTTATATTGAGTAGTCCCTGTTCAAGTTGCTATGTTATTTGTCTTTCCTGAGTAGATCTGACTGAGATACTAGAACAATTGAAGTTGTACATGATTAACACATGTAACAAGCAATCTTGTGTGTGTGTATGTGTGTGTGTGTGTGTGTGTGTGTGTGTGTGTGTGTGTGTGTGTGTGAGAGAGAGAGAGAGAGAGAGAGAGAGAGAGAGAGAGAGAGAGAGAGATACCCAGGTGTGGAAGAGTACAAATACAACAATATCTGTAGCACTGTTTTTCTGCATAATCTAAAACTGGAAACAAATCCAACAGGACAGTAATTGGCTGTGGGATGTGAGAGAAAGAGAGGAGCCAACCTAAACAGATAGATGATAAGAGCTGCTGAGATAGGGAAGTCTGCAAGAGGAGCAGGTTTTGACATTTGGAGATAATATTGGAAACCAATTTTAGACATATTAAGATGGAGATGCCTATTAGGCATTCAAATGGAGGTGTCAAGTAGGCAGTTGGATATGCAAGTCTGGATGACCAGTTGTACACTTCGTTGTACACTTCGGGGTCTTCAGCATATAGAGTCCTTAAAATCAAGAGATTGGGTAATGCTGCCAAACATGGGTAGAGCATAGATAGAGAAGAGAAAAGGGCCAAGGACTGAACATTGGGATGCTCTTCTTGTATGACTGCCATAGTCTCACTTTCCCTGCTTCAGTTATCACGCCCACCCTCCATCCCCACCCACAAAAGGTCATCTTTTTCAGCATCCAGAGTGACCTTCTAAAAGTGTAATTCAGATTATTTGACTTCATTGGCTGGGCCTCTTCAGGGAGTGGCTTCCTGTTGCTCATAGACTAAAGCCCAAACTCTGCATTAAGAGGATCGGGCTGCTCCCCACACCTCCATCATACTTTATTCTTCCTTCCCTTGTTCTCGACAGACTGGTCCCTCTACTGTGTCATTTATTCCTCAATTACACGAATAATTCTTGTATCAGGGCATCTGTACTAGCTGCTCCTTAGCCTGAAGGGGGAACCTCATCTTTCCATGCTGGCTCTTACTTTTTATTCAGAGTTCAGCTCAAAGTGCCATGTTTTCACAGAATTCCTTCCTGAACACCTTCTGTAACATATTTGCTCACTAGTTACCCTAACAGGACACTCAGTAGCATTTTGCATGGCACTGATATCTACCATTATCTTAGCTATTTATATATCATCTGTCTTCCCTCCTAGAGTCTCAGCTACCCCCGGGCAGTGGCCCTGTCTTGTTTACTATTGTATACTCCCAATGCCTTCAACAGCGGTGCCATCTGGTAGGCTGGCAGTCAGCAAATATTTGCTGAATAAATGACTTACAAGATTTTGTACCCTTTGAACATCCTTTTATGCTTCCAAATAAGAATAAGGGAGGGAGCCTTGGGCTGCCATTTTAATTTTGTCCAGGCTTTATCTTTCTTCATGTCCGCCTTTTACTCCTTTACCAGCTCTCCCACGGTCACAAAAGCCCAACAGTGCTGTGAAGATATTAGAAAGAATACTTTATTCCAAAGCCTGTGAATCAGAGGATTGTGTAATGTTATTCTAATCTAAAGGTTTCCACCGGTGGAATGCACCCCGTGACTCTAGGAGGTGACTGACACGCCTCCCAGAATAGCTGTGACCTAGGAGACCTGCGGAGGGCCTGGTCCAGCTCGGAAACAGAATCTGCTGCGGTGCCATCATGGGAGAGGTTGTGGAGCAGCTCTTCATTTTTGTAGGGCTGCTGGTGTGCCTGGTCTACCTGGTAAAGTGTGTGAGATTCTCCAAATGTGTTTTCCTGCACTTCTGGAAAGTTTTGCCAAGGTCTTTCTTGAAGTCAATGGGACAGTGGGCAGGTAAAGAAAGTGTTCCATAATTTGGTTTTTGTTGTTCCTGCTTATTATTATTTATGTCTCAAAAGATACATTACATCTTTCCCCTTCGAGAGCAAAGATGTAATTCCTTTGGGTGATTTTAATTTGGGGGTGCTGGAAAGCATGAGTGAAATTAGAATTGTCTGAAAAACAATTGTGAGGCCTGAGGAGATAGCTAAGGGAGCAATGTGACTGGACTACCACCCATGTGCCTACCTGCTCCTTCTCGTTGGCGGGGCTTTCTTCCTTTTGGCATTTCTCATGATTCTTATAGTAAATGCTGCAAAAACGTCTGCATCCTCTTCTCCAGATTTTCAAAAGCCCAGAGGATGTCTGTTTTGTTAAAGGCTGTTTCAAAATTCTGACATCCAAATAATTTTAATTCACTTGACTTAAAAAAATTTCTCTGAGCCCTTTGGAAAGTGAGGGTATTATGAAATCAAGGCAACAAAGATCTTTTTGGAGACATGTTTTTAAGATAGATGGAATCTGAATCGGGATTGTGTTCCAAGTAGGTTAATCGCTGCCTCTCGACTGATTTATCTCCTAGAACTGCCATCTGGGATTTTAGCCCTGTGACTGGGTTTAAGGTAAAAGGCATGAGGCTATGGTTTTATCATCTCCTTGATTGAAGTGCTGAGATCACATTTCCATGTTGGGCACCGAGAAATCCAATGACTTAAAAAAAAAAAAAAAAAGAATATAAGCGGCTTTAGAAATACTATTCCAGGTTAAATAAAAGAGATTGTAAACAATCTTATAGGGCTGCCAGATAAAATGCAGGATATTCAGTTAAATTTGATTTCAGATAAACAAGTACATGGGCATTTGCATTGTTAAAAATGATTATTCAATATTGGGTCAGTATTGAATAGAGCTATCATCAGCAAGAGTAAAATGTCTTTGGGCACAGATAAATTTTGGGTAGCTAATATATTTCAAGGCTGGGGGGCAAGAAGAAAATTGAATTATTAGAGACTAAAATTTTAAACTCTTCACAGCTCTGTGTGGATTTCCTAATGATGTCATTGGTATATCTTTATAGACTTGGGCCCCAAAGTCAGACAGCCTGGGTTCAAATCCTGTCATCATCATGTTTAGCAGTGTGACCTTGATGAAGTGAAACTTTCTCTCCCTTGGCTTCCTCATCTATAAACTAAGAATAATGATAGTCCCTGCATTAAGGGCTTGTTTTGAATATGAAATGAGATGATGCATCTAAAACACTTGAAACAGCACATGGCAGAAAGGAAGCACTCAATAGATATCAGCTTTTGACTGATGTTGTTATGTTAACCATAGCACAGGCCTTGTATTGGTGATTTTGACAGTCCCTGTAATAGAGGGGAAGGTGAGGCAGAAGATGACCCTGAACATAGTACCTCCACCAAGAGGAATGGGAAATAGGCATGGGTTCACTTACAAGTACTCAACTTAACAGATAAAATGATTAGCAGTTATTCAAATCAGGTTGATTCTGCCAGTGTGCTGCTCAAAGCTTGTACAACTGGGCCTGCTCTCACTCTCAAGTAAGCTAAATGTATACATGCCTTTTGTTCACATGCTTGGAAAGCAGACCTTTTAATTATTGGTGCAAAGGTAAATTGCAGATACGTATTTACTGAATTGTAGTGCATTTTGAAATTGTGACATTCACTGAATGAGGTCTATCCTAGAGCTCAGTCATTAAATATGCGTGAAATGTTGGATGTAAAAGGACTAGAAGGCCGATCGAATTGTTCTATATGAAACAATAGGTCCTTTGAGCACAAATTCTTCAGGTCCTTTCATTTTATTTCATTCTCTTTTTGTCTTTCTGTATTGTCCTCTTTGTTAAATTCCCTATCTTCCAGGCTTTGATTGCTGCTGTCCTGTGTGGGAGCGAACTTGACTTTTCGCAGGAAACTTGAAATATCCTTACAGTGACAGAAGAGTGTGTGGTTAGAGAGATAACAGGGTACACTGCTTGCCCTTCATGAATTAAGGCTTAGAAATGTGCAAACCCTTTTGGGGTCTGAATGAAATGTTCCCTGGCTGAAGTTCTTTGTTTCATTCTGGAGTGTGTTTTCCACGGCCTCACCAGCCATTCCAAAAAAAAAAAAAGCTTCATTTTGAACATTCAGTGAGGAAGTCGAGGGCTGGAAACTTCACAGTTGAGCAGGGTGGGACTCGGGAGCAGGAGGGTGCTGCTTTGGAATATTAAGTGTCTTAGAGAGTAGGTCTGCAAGAAAACGTAGCCAGGGAGAAAGAGGACTTTAAAGATTAATTCTATCCCTTAAACCCTTTTCTGCTTTTTGCAGTGATCACTGGAGCAGGAGATGGGATTGGGAAAGCTTATTCATTCGAGGTAAGTTGTGTTCACCCAGACTTTCTCCTCCCCTTGTATTGAACACGTTATCGCCATGTGACACCCAACCCAAGTACCAATTTTGTGATTGTAAACGTAATAGACATTCATTGATGAAGGAAAATATTTTCTGTAAAAAAAGGAAATTTGAAAGTCATAATTTCACTCCCTGAATACCTTTTTTATTTTTTATTATTAGTTTCAGGTCTGAATGCCTTTTAAAAAATATGCAATGATATTCAAGTGGGAGTATCTCCCTCTTGGAGTTGTTTTAAAAATGTATGGGGCATTGTTCTATTCTAGTGTAACTGTACCATAAGCATTTATATACTTAAACACAATTTTAAAAAATTATAAACTACCTTTCTTTTATTTATACTTTACATTATAGCTAGGATATATATTGATTTAAAATTTATTTGTGTAGGCAGGAGATATTATTTATGACTTTAACTTCAAGAATATTAATGGGCATTATAAAATACTATATAAAGACATGATCTGATAGGGCTGAGAGTCACTGGAATAGGATTAGTGTCTTTCAGTTATTTCAGTATTTCTTTCCAGGCTTCTTGTTTCTTTGTAGACAGATAGACAGGTATAGATAGATAGATAGAAGATAGATAATAGATGGGTAGTTATACTTTTAAAAATACATTATAGCTTATGTAGTTTTATATGCTGTTATTATTATTATTATTATTATTATTATTATTATTACAAATTCCACATTTTCATTAATGAAGTATTGTTTCCTGGAATTCTTATGTATTTTATTTCTTACTAGTGTCTATTATACTGACCTCTAAAACCATTTAAAATACAAAAGAAACAGAATGAATCCTGGAAATTATGAGGATGGCTGTTAAAAAAATATAATGAAATGTACTTCAGTTACAGAAACTACATTTAACACTGGTGCTATACCCATGTGTTTTCTTGTCCCCAAAGGCCTGCATCATGATAGATGCCAATCCATCTTGTGTTAAACAGACAAGGCAAGGTGTATGGGAGGCACTTGACAGAAACTTCTGGGACATTTACCATGCCAGTTAAAAAAGCTCCGAGTGCAGGTCTTTTGGGTCTGCATCCTCCATCCTCTGATGATAATTTCTTTGGTATTGACATTTGACTTCAACTGGTGTTTTGAACTAAGAGTCTTTGCTCTTATCTTGATTCATATATAGAACTTTCTGATGACTAGTGGTGTCCAACACTAAGCAGATGAGTGATCGTAGCTGAGTGCTGAGGTTGGGGAGACCACCTAGCAACCACTTTCCAAAGCCTTGTGTCTTTCATACTCAAAAATCAGAAGGAAAGCTTTTCTAGCTATCTGCATTAAAACTATATCACCTTTTATATAACTATTTTCTACCTTAGATCAGGAAAGGGTCTGATCCCTCATTCAAAAGATTCATGGCCTTACCTCTTAGTTCTCTGGATTGCCAAGAAATTCAGGTTTGTTCTTTATGATTTTCCAGATCCTTTTCTCAAATTCATGCTGACCTGACCTACTTGTAGTACCCTTGATATTTTTCTTTCTACTTAAAGGAGACCCATGTTGAAACTCTTCTTAGCCATTGGCTTCTTTACTGTTTTTAAAAGCAATGGCCTGAGGGTCAGGATGTGGGTTCCAGTCCTCAGTCTGACACTGTCTGGAGATTTTGGACAAGTTACACATCCTTTCTGAGCTTCCAGTGTTTAGCAGCACAAAAGATACCTCCCAAGAGCCTTCAAGTTCTAAATTCTGTTTCTGTTCTAGACTAATTTTTGCTTTGCTCTTCTCCTTGTAGAATCTTCCTTTGTTTCCTTTTGTTCTTTTCTAAGGCTGTGTTAGACAATTTTCTGGGCCCCTTCATGCAGGCTTTCCTCTCTTCCAGAGAGCCCACTCTCGTCTCCCTGGTAACTGCTGATCCAAGGAAAGCAGTGTGGAGTCTGGGATGCTATGGACTGGAAGGATTAAGAGCCTGAGCCTGGGAATCGATTAGACATCTATGTGTTCAAACTGTGTCTCCCATGCTCACTGCAGAATTCCCACATCAATAAACTGGAGGTGATGCCAGTCCCATCTGGGCTTTTGTATAGGATGAGGCAGGCAAAATGCTTTGCACCAAGTAAGCCCTCCAAGGTCTGCTACTCTTATTATTGGATTTTTAAACTGTGTTTCCTTTACCATATATTGCTTTCTTTTTATTGTATTTTCTATTTTTTTATTTGGGAGCAGTCTGTTTTTCCAGGATCCATCAGTTCCAAGTCAAATAGTTGTTTCCATCTAGTTGTGGAGGACACAGCTCAGTGGCCCATATGGGGATTGAACCGGCAACCTTGGTGTCATGAGCACTGCGCTCTAACCAACTGAGCTAACTGGCCGCCCCAATTTTTTCTCTGTTGTTTATATTTAGTAATTTCTGTCACTTTATCTTTAAGTTCATTGATTCTTTCCTTGGTCCCCTCCATTCTGCTATTGAGCCCACCAATCCAGTTTTTAATTTTGCTTATGGTACTTTTCAGTTTCTAAAAATTTCCATTTCGTTCTTTTTTATATATACTATTTCTTTGCTGAAACTTTCCATTACTTATTTGTTTTAATTGTGTTTGTCATTGCAGCATTTTTATGATGGCTTCTTCAAAATCCTAGTCAGATAATTCTAACATCTGTGTCATCTCAGTGTTGGTGTCTGTTTTTTTAAGACTTTTATTAAACTACAGCTAATATAGAATATTATATGTTTCATGTGCACACCATAGTTATTCAACATTTATATACCTGAAGAAGTGATCACCATGATAAGTCCAGCAAGTATCTGCCCCCATACCACGCTACCACAATATTATTGACTGTATTCCCCATGCTGTACATTACATCCCCATGACTTATTTGTTTCATACCTGAAAATTTGGACCTCTTATTATCCTTCACCTTCCCCTCCTTTTAAAAAATTTTCAGTTACAGTTGACATTCAATATTATTTTATATTAATTTCAGGTGTATGGCATAGTGGTCAGACATTTGTATAATTTAAGAAATGATCCCTCTGACTAGTCTAGTAGTTACCTGGCACTATAAATAATTATTACCATATTATCGACTATATTCCCTATGCTTTACTTTACATCTCCATGACTATTTTGTAACTGCTAGTTTGTATTATACTTCTTAATTCCTTTACCTTTTCCTCCCTGTTCCCCAACCCCATCCCATCTATCACTCCAATAAATCTAGTACCAATATGACACCACAAATAGTTATCACAATATTATTGACTATTTCTTATGTTATATCCTACATCCCTATGATTACTGTGTAACAACCAATTTGTACTTCTTAATCCCTTCTCCTTTTTCACTCACCTCCAACCCTCCTCCCATCTGGCAACCATCAATATGTTCTCTGTATCTATGAGCCTGATTTTGTTTTGTTTGTTTATTTTGTTCTTTAGATTCCATATAAGTGAAATCACATTGTATCTGTCTTTCTCTGTCTCACACTCCACTCAACACAGTTTCCTCCAGGTCCATCCATGCCACCATAGATGGCAAGAACCCATTCCCTTCCATGGTTGAGCAATATTCCATTGTATATATGTACCACCTCCTCTTTATCCATTCATCTATCGATGGACACCCAGGCTGCCTTTACATCTTGGCCATTGTAAACAGTGCTACAATGAACATGGATGCACATGTGCCTTCAAAGTAGTGTTTGGGTTTCTTCAGATGAATATCCTGAGATGGAATTACTAAGTCTTTTTTGTCTATTATTATAGCTTTTGTTTTAAAGTTTATTTGGTCTGGCATAAGTATTGCTGCCCCAGCTTTTTTTTTTTTTTTCATTTCCATTTTCATGATATACCTTTTTCCATCCTTTTACTTTTAGTCTGCATGTGTCTTTCAATCTGAAGTGATTCTTTTGTAGGCAGCATATGTAAAGTTTTTTTTAATTAAAGTTTATTGGGGTGACAATAGTTAGTAAAGTTACATAGGTTTCAGGTGTACAATCCTGTAATACATCATCTATATGTCACATTGCATGTTTTCTTATCAATTCAGCTCTCCTATTTCTTTCTTTCTTTTTTATATAATTTTTTTATTGGGGGAACAGTGTGTGTTTCTAGGATCCATTAGCTCCAAGTCAAGCAGTTATTTCAATCTAGTTTCAATCTAGTTGTGGAGGGCGCATCTCAGTGGCCCATGTGGGGATCAAACCAGCAACCTTGGTGTTATGAGTACTGTGCTCTAATCAACTGAGCTAACTGTCCGCCCTTTTCTTATTTCTTTTGTGGAGGACTCACTTCACTGGCTTATGTTGGTATTGTGATCATTGCATTCTTCCCAGGTGAGGCAGATCGGTTGCCAGCCATTGGATGGCTGCTCACAGCAGCTCATGCCAGCTCACGCTAGCTGCCAACCGCTTACTCTGGCTGCTGGCCACTCATGGTAGCTTACAGCAACCTACTGCAGCCCCACTGCAGCCTGCGCCATCACTGGCGACTCACACACAGCAGCCCAACTCCAGTTCGAGCTGTTGTTCACCATCTTAGCTGTAGAGGGCGCAGTGTCACTGGCCTATGTGGGATCTGAACTGGCGGTCCTGCTGCTCAGAGCCTGCGCTCCCAAGCCAACTCTTAACCAATGAGCCACTCAGCTGGCCCTATAACCACTGTTTTGAAATCTGTCTCTAGTAGGTTGCTTGTCTGCATTTCGTTTGATTCTTTTTCTGGAGTTTTTTCCTGTTCTTTCATTTGGGCTGTATTTCTTTGTTTCCTCATTTTGGCTGTTTCTCTGTATTAGGTAGATCTGTTATGTCTCCCAGCCTTGGCTGGGTGGACTTATGCAGTAAGTGCCCTGTGGGGCTCTGGCACAGTTTCCCTGGTCACCTGTTCCAGCTGTTCCAGGAGTGTCCTTTGTCTAAGTTGTGTGTACCCTCCTGTTATAGTTGACCCTTGATTGCTATTGGCATGTCAGTTGGTGGGATTGACCCTCAGGCTGATTTGCTGTGGGGTATGACCATGATCACAGCTTACAGGCTGCTGTATGGGGGGCTTAGTCCCCTGAGTGGGATTCACCCCAGTGGGCTCTGGTGCCTGATGAGAACATCCTTTGGGTGTACTGCTTGTGGGGCTAGTTGGGCAGTGTTCTGCTGTGGTCTGAAGCCAACCTCCAAGTATGTTGCTTCTGGGACCTCTTGCGAGGAACTCTGGTGCAGGCCCAGGTCACCCACTACCTGTGATTGGCTGGGACTACCTGGTCGGAGCTACAAAGTGATCCATAGTTGTTCGCTGCCTGTGCTAATCCTGGAAGCGTGTGGGAGGGGCCATGCTGTGAAGCGAGGATGACAACCAACAGTACCAGGCCTGGGGTAGCTCTGCAAAATGCCAGGACACCCTGAGGTCTGCTGCCACCCACCAGCTCCTTTAAGGTTCAGGTTCAGCCACTGATAAAGCCTCATGCAGTATGCGAGTTGGGTGAAGCAGGGTCTCAAGGAGTCACTAGAGTGGGATGAGTTGTAGTTAACAGGTTAATGTAGGCTCTGGTTTGGTGCCAGTGCTGAGCCTGGAGCTACTCAGCAAAAATCTCAGCACACTGAGGCCTGTCACTACCCACCTGGGGCCCATGGACTCCAATAGTTTTTCAAGAAAGTGCAATGTAGACAGGGCTGGTTGCTCACCGAGAAAGTGCCCCTGGTATTGGGTGAGTTGGGTGGAGTGGGGTCTCAGTGAGTCAGCAGGGTGGAGTAGTGTTGCTCACCAGCCCAATTAGATTCAGATTTGGCCTGTGGGAGAGGGCTCAACACAGGGGAGATGGTGTGCCCAACTGCTGGCTGCATGGGAGAGGGACCCCACACAAGAAAAATGGCAACTGTTCTCCAACCCTGACTCCAAAGCCACATGCCTTAGTTTGCCCCGCATATGTTTTGACTCCCCCTGAGTTACTGTCCTTCTGCCGGAGCCCAAGGTGAGTGCCTGTGAGTGAGAGAGTCTGTGCACAGGTCATTTAAGAGAA